TAAAAATTTTAATATTTTGCTATTATCTGCATTTACAGTGAAAAGCAACAAGAGCACACCAACCCAGCAGAGGAAATGCACAGCGGATTATCATAATCACCCAAAGATGGCAATTGCAACAAAACCGTGCGAACAGCAACAATTTCAACAGCAAATTAAAACCAAAGAAATTAAGAAAAAGTTTAAATCCTTATATCGTCAACAGGAGCAACAACAACAACAACAGCAGCATCAACAACAACAACAGCAGCTGCAACAACAGCAGCGATGTCAGTCTCCACGACAAGAGCACAAGACTCATCAACAACAGCACAATTGCCAAGAAAAACTTAATAAAAACGGCAACACACAGGATGTGATGGTTACTGTTGTTGTGAATGATGTTGCTGTGGTGAAGAGTGTTGCAGAAATTTTGCAAAGAGAAGCGGAACAACAACAACAACAGCAGCAGCAACAACAGCAACAGCAAGAACAACAAGAACAATTAAAAACAACAGTGCAATATAATTGTAAAGTTCCAGCCGAAACTAATAGCAACAAAAGTGACACAAGTAGAAGCAAAAATAACAACAACAATAACAATAATAGTATCTGGAACAGCAACAGTAGTTGCAATAGCAACAATGAAGCTGACACTGACAATAACATAAGCTTGCGGCGTAAAAGTCGAACAACCAAAGTCCATCAACATCAACTAAACGAGATGAAAATATTAAAAAGTCACGAGCAAAAGCAATTGCTTAACAACGACAAGAACAACAATAACAACAACAACAACATCAATAGAAACATTGACAGCAACAACAATGAAAGCATTTCTGATAACAATAACAATAGCCACAACGGAATAGCATTGTCCGTAAAAATGTCCAGTGCAAGTGTCAACAATACAGTCCAAGATTCTTATAACATTAATAGCAACAACAACAGCAATAGCAACAACAACAGGAACGCTTCCAATAATAATAACAACAACAAAAACAATGTTGATAGAGAATTGCTCGTTAAACAGAAGTTAAAGTCAAACAGGAAAGCTACAGATTACTACATGTTCAATGTTGACGATGAGCAAAAGACGCATCACCACCAGCAACGGCAACAACAGCAAGAACATCAACAGCAGCAAGAACCAAGCAATAACTATAGCAGTAATAAGATTAGGGTCCAAAGTCACGAATTGGAAGACGATGAAGTTACAATTGTAAATAATGGAATGCCAACAAATAAACTACAACAGCGACAACAAAAACACCAACAATATCAACAACAACAAGAATATCAGCAACTAAATCAGCAACAACAATATCACAATTATCATTGCCCTACTGGGAAATCATGTAGTTGCAGCTACGTGAAAACTTCCGGCACTGCAATGGCAGTGACTAAGACAGCAATGGGGGTTGCAATGTGCAACAACAGCAATACAAATAATAACGTTAGCAGCGACAACAACATAAATAATAGAAAGAACAACAACAGTAAGTTGTCAACAACATGGATGACAAATGGTATAAAGTTATCACAATTTGATACTGCTGCTACTCTCCCCATAATAAGTGCGACTGTTGCTAGTTGTGATGAACTCATGTTGAGCCAAACAACACCAACAGCAGCAACAAAAACAACATCAGCGACAGCAGCAACAAAAACAACAAAATTATTAAATGTTGGTAGTTTATCATGCAAGAAAAGTTGGGCAACGGAATTGTCGCAAGGGAATCGTTTACCTGAAAGAAAAGTTGCAGTGATGCAAGTACAAAATAATATCACAAACACACCTACAACTAGTAACTATAGAATGCCAACAACAACAATAGCTGCAGCAGCAATAACAGCAACAACAACAGCAATAACAACAAATATGACGTACGACGACTCGCAAGGAAATCAAAACTTTACTCAGCATAATTTGGCAAAGACGTCTCAGGTGCATAACACAAATTTAAAGAAACAACAACAGCGACAACAACAGCAACTGCAACAACAGCAGCAGCAGCAACTACATGAAGTACTTGTAGAGCAGCCACAAAATGACATTCTAAGGCTGCCCTTGCATACGGAATGGCAGATCCTGGCACATTTGTCACGTGAGCATTGCCTACCGGTATTACAATATTATGGCACGTATAATCAAAAAATCCATGTCAATTTCATGTATAACAAATCGATAGTATGTCTCAATCTCATGCAGCAGCAGCCACAACAGCAGCAACAATATTGCAACCACCCACAAGAATTGAAAAAGGATTATGCCATAAATGCAAATAACTTAAATTATGAAAATGTCAACAATTACCAAATGGATAAATTCTTTTTGGCTTGTATTCCATTGTATGACAGCAATATAAATGCAGAACAAGCAACTTCACTAGCAGCAACAACAACAACAACCAGAGCAACAACAATGACATCTTCAACTGCAGCAGCAGCAGCAGCAGCAAACAAACATACGGAAACGGAAACAACAGTTCCAACTGAAAAATTTGCAATATTTCTGTGGCATTTACTTGCCACTGACAATGTTGCGGCTTCAATGACAATTGCAACTGCAACAACAACAACAACACCAACACCAACACCAACACCAACAGTAGCAACCGTAAGAACTTCAACCATTGCCGCAGATAATGCTTACAGTGTTGCCACAGCCACTGCAATTCCAGATAGAACAAATAGTAATGCTACTCAACGTAATTTCACCTCTGTTGACAGTCGCCATTTTGAAACTATAATCGAATCGCAACGCACCGGTATTAAATGGTTTGGTCGTTCGCAATCGCTGATGAAGAGCTGGTACGAAATCGAAGCCGAAGGACATTTTCTTACACACGAAATACCCGCACAGCTCAAGGATTCTGATGCATTGGAAATTGTCATCAGAATAAAATAGATTTTTACTGCATTTACGTGTCCGCTTAAATCCGAGCATATTCCGAGGAAGTTGGAGTTGTGTACTTATGCTTGTGGGTGGAAAATTGTTGCTGTCGATTCTGGAGGCGGACAGAAGGAGGAATTGAAAGACGCCGTCGTCAAGTACGTGATTTTTTACTTAACAAAATGTAAGCTGCACTGATGACTTTCTGTGCAATTCTGTTATATTAAAATGGCGTGGTTGCTAAGTAAAAATATATAAATAAATTTATAAATAAATATATATAATGTGTGTAATGCACATTCTCCATATGCAAATATAGTAGTAATATATCGCCTGGAGCAATTCAAATTCCAGGCACATACCAAATGAAAATTCCGATGAAAATTGTCAATATTAAGTTAAGGGATAAAAGGCAATATGGAACAAAGAATAATAATATTAGACTGCTATAGCTGTAGATGTTATGGTATATATAAAAATATTATATAAAAATTATATAAATAATTTAATATATAAATAAATAAATAAATAATTTAAAAATAATTTAATAAATATAATTATATTATATAAATATAATTATATAAAAATACATATAATATATCAAAAAAAAAATAAGCAAAAAAAAAAATATATATATATATAATAATATATATAGTAGATATAAAAAAAATATTAATCATTAGTATATCACATAACAATACGGTTATAATAAGTGAACTGTTGAAGAAAGAATGGTTATTAAGATGAAGAATGTTTATACAATTTAATACAGATATAACATTAGTGGGTAAGCTATAATCGAGAAGGTTGGTAGAATACATACGAAAAACGTTTCTATATATATCATTAATAATTATTAATATATTTCAAACATAGTACAATATACACAGATAAAAAAACTTATATATTAAATATTATAATGATAATAATTATCAACGCCTGAGTATATTTAATATTAGAGTTTTAAAACAAAGAAAACAACCAAAGTTTGTGATAAAATAATAGTATATATCGTATATATATAAATAAATCTATAATTTATACATAATATAATTGATATCGCAATATTTCTCACAAACTACTTAAGCTTGCCAGTCCATTATGTTTAACAATTTTATACATTATTTTTAAAAGAAGAAGAACCAAAGGTTTTATATATGAAAAAACTTATAAGTTATACATTATCACGATGATTCTAAGGATCCACTTGGGTCTGGCGGTCCGTTGTGTTCAAATATTTAATACATTACTTTTAAAATAAAGAAATCCAAATGTTATAATCTTAATGATATCATATGAAAATATATGGTATCGAATTTACAATATATAAATTGTTATCTCAACATGCAGGAGCCTCATGTAAGAGATAATGTTTAATGAAATAAATATAAGATTATCCATTATGTGTGTTGCTAAAAGCAAATTTAAATAAAATACAACATTATAATCAAAATTTTGTTTTAATTACAAACAATGTAATGCTTCTCGGGAAGGTACGCAGATCTGAGGTTAATTATTACTTAGTCTGATGAAGTGATAAACAATAATCCAGTCAAGGCGTAAAGAGGCGTTTTGAAAATACCTCGAGTAAAAGTAAAAGTGAGTAAAAGTGCTTAAGTGCACTGGCTTAAGTATCTTCAACATAATTATATGTACATAACAACGTTAGTTATTATTACTACTAATTATAAGACAACTAATCAGTAGATTTCTTGTGATGCCATCATATATTTTTATTAAGAGAATTTCAAAACCTCTACGTCAAGTTAAATGGCAATTAAATAAAGTAAGGCCTTTCAATGAAATGATTGGAGTAGGTCTGTGGTATTGAATAGGCTACTAGCTTCTTCGTTTACAAGCTTCTGTAGCTACTTAGAATGATCACTCGCTTGCCCTTTAATTTCCTTAGCAATTATTGAGGTGTTAAAGTCTCAATGAAATTTGATAATACGATGAAAAGTACTATGAAAGGTGTTAAAGTGTTATGATCTCGATGAATATAGATATTACGAACATAGTATGTGGTATCAAGATTTAGATGCTGATCGCAATTTTATTTGAATGTATTTAATACTCTGTATTGATACATGATACAGAATCATATAAATATCTTCCATAGAACATCTTATTGTATTACATATTTTTAGTGGTAACTTTCGATGATTGGTTGGCACATAACTGACAATAGCTTGGACATAACTTGACTGCCATTTGTTTTTAAACCGTTAAATCAATTAAATCCATAAATTCATATGCGTAACCCCAGAGTCATGCGAAGAGTTCTATAGTGCCATATCGTATAATATTGGTGGTCAATTCACATCCCGAAAATTTGAAATTACACGTTCGGGAAGTTCTTACTCAGCAAAGCCAAAACAATGCAGAATGTGCAACTTATCATTAACACATTATTATAATATGATAATTTTCATTATCACACATTCCATTCCATATATCTTTAATATATAAATATTCAAAAAAAATCTATAAGCGTGTGACTATATTGATCAGTAATGAAATTGAAAATTTTTCTCAAAAATACGATCCTCTTTACAATCTCACAAAAAATAGATCAGTAGTCACAAATTGCATTATCTTGCTAGCCAACTCACATCAGGAAAGCGTGAAAGTAGGCATGATGTGTAGCAAGAGGAGGGGCACAGTTAATATTCTAATTTATTTAACTTAAGTTGTTATCGTATAAAAAACCGGGAATGTAAGTTTCAATGATTAATGACAATATTGGTATCTGAGAAAAGCTACGAACCCCGGTAAATTATGGATATATTCTTAAGTGCACCCGTTTCATTACCACAGATGTTGTTAGCCTAAAAGTATGTTGTGTTTTTATTTATTTAAGATAAATTTTGTATTCAACTATAAAAATAACGATTGTTTTAAAATGCACTCATCAATAAAACTTTTCTCCGCAACACAAACTGCTTTTTAACAAAATGGCTGTTAATTTATGCATTAACAAGTGAACGAGAGGGAAAAAATGGCCGACAAACAAATCATGGCGAACCAAATTAATTTATGAAAAATGCTGATGTAGCACTTAAGCGGCTGAAAAATAAAAAAAAAATTGTTTTTAATGAAAACATTTATTTTAGCGCTGAACAGTAAAAACATTTTAATTAAAAAATAAAAAGCGAAAAAAAATTAATGCAACTCACACTGTCAACAAAATTTTATTGCAAAATTTAAAAATCGCAAAAAGTTTTGAACAAAAATCACAAGGAAGAGACTAAAAATGAGTAATTTTTTGACAAATTTATTTAACGTGAAAGCGGTGACATTTAATAAATTTTTCTTCTTTTGCAGATTTACATGGAATTTTTAACATGTAAACAGTCACGCCTCCTTATTCCCATTTAACAAGTCCATTGATACGTTACTGGAGGTTAAGGAAAACGCTTTGCTATCAATAACGCATGTTTTTATAGCAAATATATACCATATATATGAAAAAACAAAAATGTATAATAATAATAAATAAATTTTATGTTTTCCGCTGATAATGCAATATTTTTTATTATTTTTTAGTTGCTTGTTTTAGTGGCGATTGGAAAATTGAACCTTTCGCATATCCGGAACTTTGTCACTTGTCGAGCTGCCACCTTTTTACCACCTTTTTTATGTTCGGCAAAATACAGAGAGAGAAATATGTTGTATATAAAGGATATGTGTGTTTGCTGAAAATTAATGCGAATTTGACAATTTTATTGAAGCTAAAATACCATGCAGTGCTGTGTATAAAAGTATTAACTCATATTTTGCATATTAATTTATTGTATATAAAATTATTTTGTTTACCAGTGTTTATTCAGCTTTAAAACATACTGATGGAAGTAGTTTTAATTAACTCCTAAAGATATGCTGTGTTTTTTTGATATATTTCACGTAAGAAAGTTCGGATCAATAAATATATAAAGTAAAGTTAACAGCATTTGAATACTCACAGTTCACATTTATTTGGAATTGCTGCCTTATAGCAAGGATGGAACTTAATAGCTGCTGTTATTTCAAACGTAGGGTTTCCCATATCAGTAAGCATGAAGAGGTGTGAAATCTGCATGTGATCTGCAATGAAGAAGTATGTTAGCAACAAATCTTATTTCTTCATAGTGAACATACCACCGTAACTATAAATAGCAAGTAAAAATCAAGCTCTACATATATTATTATTAGCAAGTACTAGTCCTTGTTTAATTTAGAACGTATATAAAAACTAGCGCGAAGTTCTTAGTCAAATGGAAGCATTTTTTTCAATTCAAAAACTGTTTTATTAATCAAAATACTAGTCATTGTTTTTTATTCTTAATATTTTAAGGTTCAATCCATAATTCGCTTATTTTACAAAACTATAATTACATTTATAAAAATCTTTTTATTTTTATAATTAGTGTTTTTAAAAAATTTAAAACAGTATTATAATTAATTTTTTCTTCATTAATGAAAATTACAAAACTATAATTACTTTTATAAAAATCTTTTTATTTTTATAATTAGTATTTTTAAAAAATTTAAAACAGTATTATTATTAATTTTTTCTTCATTAGTGAGATCGCCACTCATTGGGTAGTCATCAAAGCTTCATATTGTTGTTGAGATAGACCAGTCTGTTGGTCTATCTCTGGGTTGGTCAATACCTACGATGAGAAATAAGTATAGCATAATAGATTCTTTGGGTTGCGGTACAATGTAGTCTAGTTCAGAGATGAATTGAGATTATACTTGTTTCGTAGCTCTGAAATACATTATATCGAATTCTTTTCAAAATTTTCACACAATATAAAAACAATAATATATTTAACCAAAACCAATGAATCTGTTGAAATTGTCAACCCAAAGCATGAGTTGTTAGAGATGGCTAGCTTTTTAAAAATTCAAATTATTCCAACACAATTATAAAGAAAAAGGTCAAATATTTACTACTTAACAAAATAGTCAACATTTCTACCTAAAAGTATGTTAGCATTTTTTATTTAAATTATTCTAAGCCTTCAAACGAATTGTTAGCCTAAAATTATGCTAAATAATTTGAAATTCGTTTAAATTGAGTGTTTTAACATAAATTGAGTGTGGTTCCATAATAAATAACAAAAATGAGTGAAAAAGTATTCTAATATTAATTGTCATTCAGGCAAAAAAAGTATCTACACAATTATTTATTTGAGTTATTTGCGCTCACAGAAGAATTGTGTCAACAGTTCTGAGTGAAAAAGTTGCATAAAATGTTTGCATTTTTGTTTTTTTCTCAAAGACAATTATTGGCTTTGGTTTTTTGCTCATTGTCTTTGTTTTGATTAAAAACTTATTAATGTGAATTAGTTGTGAAAAGACTTTGTTCAAGTTCATTAGCACATCGTTTAGCACGTGTTTTGCGGTTAACTCGTTAAGGCAGCAATAAAATAATATTTATCATTGGATTGTCTTGCCATTGTCGTCTAGCTGTTAGAGACTCTTAGAGAAGACTTCAGGGGTGGATTGTATAGTGAGAGCCTTCTATCGTTGAATATTGAACTGAATATGCTTAATATGTTGCAGAATAAAATAAAGTGATTGTTATAAAGTGAAATAAAGTGAGAAGGAATGAAATGTTTTGAGTGACTTTTTTTTATTTATTTTGACTTTGAGCTGCAATGAGTTTGTTTGGTTTCTTATCATAAATATTTACTTATTTGTAATTAAATATTTTTTTTGTAAAAAATAAATCAATCAAAAGCAAATTAAATGAATATATGAGGTAAGTTTTGTTTATTTTTTGTTCGCAATGTCATTTAATTTTTCAGATTTCTTAATAATTTTTAAAATATTTTAAATAATTTTAAAAGATATTTATATACTTTAAACTAATTCAATTCTTGTAACCTAGTATAACATTTAGTACCCAGAAAAAATAATAGTATTTGTATATTATTATGTCTATATTTATGAATATTGTACTCATATAAAAAAATCTTATAAGTTCCATTCATTCACAAATTATTAAAACGATTGGATATATATGACATTACTATGGGGTAGGTCAGGTTATAATATACATAGATCCTAGGGTTCTATGTGCTTGAAACTATGACCTATTCAGTTACATTTCCTTTGGCTCGTATTCCAATTACATAAAAATTATAGCGCTGCAAAAATATAAACAATAATGATGATATTAAAAAGTTATTAATTAAATAAACTAATAAAAAAATAATTGAATAATAATTAATAATTATAATAATTGAATAATAAATTTCTTAGATTATATAATATTTTTTTTTTTTTGAGTAGCTGAAGAATACTATTGACTATAAAGGTATATTAATAACTCATAAAATAGTTATATAAAAAGCAAATGATAACATGATTAGTTTAACTTCAGTATTGGAGAGATAGTCAGGTCAGTTCTAGCTCTAAACTTAACTATTTTTTGTTTTGATTATAGTATATTAGGATTGATTCCTCAATTTTTAGTATGTACAAAATTTGTATACTATTTGTTAGTAAATGGAAAAGCACACACTAACTAAAGACCGATTGGTTTGCGTATTGTAGGCAGTTCGGGAAAGAAATGGGTCTATGTATAATATAGTTAGCGATTCTAACATAATAGGTGTATGTGATTATTCAGTAGTCCAGTAATGGCCCAATAACATGGCAGACGAACACAAATCAATAGACTTGTATGTTTCGAGACTAATTCAAAAATGATCTAATAATATAATAAGCGATTTAAACATAATAGGTGTGCCTGATTATACAGTAGTTCAGTAATAGCCCAATAATATAGTAGACGTATAATGGTGTTATAACGTAGGAAGTGAACCTAAGAAAATAGGTATGTGTGATTGGAAAATAGTTTAATAATGATCCTTACCATTGGATTACGTGATTTAAACGTAGTAGATGTTAGTGACTGCAGAGTAGTCCAGTAATGGTCTTTTAATATAGTAAAGAAACCTAACGAAATAGGTGTAGGTGATTGCAGAGTAGTCCCTTTGGAATTTAAGTAGTCGCTTTAGCACATGAATTGTAAAATATACTGGCCATGAAAACACTGATACACTCAGAGAACAAGCTTTATAGAAATAAGAGAAGAAAATCATTTTAAAATTACGTGATCATACTCTCTTATCTATTTATATTTGATAATAATTAAATTTTTTTTT